TTTTAATGACACTTACATTATAATATATGCATTTTGGAGGAGTTTGGCCGGTTTTGATTATATAATCGTAATTTCTGTGATCGATGAGCAATAAGCCCCCCGGCTTTACACAACGTTCAAAATTCGCTAAGGCTTGTCTGAGAACAACAAAATATATATTTTATGAATAATAAAAATTCGTAAAACATTCTGCATTAAGCTAATCTAATCTAATATGATCTATATGATGAATTTAATACCTCTGCTCTCTCTGATCATCGGAAGTATCAGGCATGTGGGCAAAACTATTTCCCAAACATATAACGGCATCAAAACCTTCTCCAATAAGATGGCTAATATCGTTGGGTAGAGTTAGCCAATTCGCTTCTTCGATCACTGTTATAATTCAAAAGGTCAAGATAATAATAATTGCAGACTTAAAGAATTTTTTAATAATAACATGTATGTATCTGAGAAAATCTTTGCTTTATTTTCTTCGACTTTTTTAAAGGGTTTTATAGGGAAGGTATTTTTCGATAGTTTAAAACTAATTAAAATATATGTTTCGATCATTATTATATAACTTTAAATGTAATTACTTGTTTCAATTTTATTGATATATGTAAATTATTTACGTTTTCAATCACATTGAAATCACGAGATCAAAGGCTAGAAAGTAAAAAAACGAAAAATCGCGATCGACCTTTGGTAATAAACATAAAATCTTTTCTGTACTTTTTTATTATTGAGCAATTCGTTATAACAAATAAACTGTTTTTGAGCGATATGCAATTGTTGTATTTTGAACTACTTTATCTGGTTTCAATTTCACAATAATCGCGTAATTATATAGTAATATTTAATCAGATTCTGCATACGTTAGCAATAACAACTTTTATCGATACGTATAACTATCATAAACGCACATTCTTGCATCAAGGCAATCTTACATCATGTTATTTTGAGTTTGTATAGGAAGACGAATTAGATAGTTTAAGTTTTGAGATAGTTGTTAATTTTTTTATTTTAAATGAGTTGTTTTATCATGTTAATTATTTCTTCTGCACTCGAAACAATCCGCTGAACAAACTAATAGCAATCTTACATCAATACAGTTAAATTTTCTCAATAATATGACTGTTATGTACATATAACATATCATACTACACATTTACATTGTTGAGTGAGAATTTATAACATTGATTGGATATATATCATAATATTGTAATGTACTGTTAATTTGTGTTTAGCGGCAATAGATAACAGTTCTGTATGTCTTAAAGCTTATATTGAATCAATTGATCGCTTCGATCTACTCTAACGTAACTTTATTATCGCTTGAATTATCTCCATATTTCGGAGAATATTTTCCGTTTCATCTTCCTTTAATTTTTTCCAATTGTCTTTAGTCAAAAAATTCGATCTTATCGAAATATTAAATATCCAACTTGCTTACCCCAGTTATCGAAGGCAGGCTCCTTTCTACGATCCCATCTGGATTTTAACGCGTACTTGAGCATTTTATCAGACGCATCAACGCTGACGACTTCAAAACCCTCTTCCAGTAGCATTATGGAATCAACGCCAGTACCGCAAGCAACATCCAATATTCGACGACATCCCTTTTGCCGTAGCAGATTCACCAGGAAATCCCGATAATTCTGTGTACGTTGATTCTTGTCACCAATGAAGACCTCCCAGACTTTTGCCGCTTTGCCGTCTGCGTACTGATCCTTGACTCCCTCAGCTGGCGTACCAAGAGACCGGGTACGAAATACGGAATCCACCATCGTGAGGATATGAGACCTTACGACAGAATTATGGAATCAATGCACATCTTATCAGATGTAATTGTAATATGAAAAGGCAAAAATATATCGAAAAGAATTAATGAGCTAAAAAGGAATATATGTCGCTATTTTGCCTTTGTCATTTCAATCAGTATATATCATAGACATAAATGTATAGCATAAATCCAAGACAAAAAAAATCCAAAATCAAGACATAAAACGTCTTAGGCCAGTATTCATAGTCAGATCTTATATTTAAGACCGTCTTAAGTACAGTCTTAAGATGTCATGAACCAATCGGAGGACCACATTAGCAACTTAAGACATTACTTAAGACGGTCTTAAAATAAGAACCGACTATGAATACCGGCCTTAAAGATGTCTTTGAGACATCTTTTAAAAAAATGTCCTTTAAGACGTCTTACATCTCGTTTTGGGATCTTTTTATCTTTCTTTTTTATCATTTCTTTTCTTAACTATATTTACTATACGACCATGTAGATTTAATCTCGAATATATTTACTTTCATTATAGTATCTTACATAATCTCAGTTGACTATTTTTCTTATTATCTTACGTTAGTTTTTTTTTTATTACATTATGTATGTATATATGCTAATTGCTTTTTTAAAATAATCAGAGATTAGTTGTATATTCCGATGAAATTCCTATCTGCAACATTGAGATTGCTTATATCATACTGTTCCACATAAATTATTGTTATCTCACATAATGTAGTTAAGGCCTTTTGGCATAAGTCAAGCGTGCGTTAGATTTACACTGAGGACAAATGGGAGAAGGGTGATCTCTCCCTAACTCCATATCACAATGCCACGTGTCTACCGGGAGTAATTCTATTGTCTCCTAGCATTTTCTATTTACTCCCGAGGATGTTAAGATGCGTTCTAATTAAGCGCGGTGACGATTTCGGTGCAAGATTAAACGCGGAAACGATCGTGTAACTAAACGTGTTAACAATGTAATTCTATGTCATCGACACGTTTGACCTCAGTAACGTACAGCCGAAGAATTCTTCGTGATAATCGATATTGGTTCTTGCAATAAAAATGAGAAAATAAATTTCTAATTTTCTCTGTTATTTTTATTTTTCTTTTTTCTTTATTTTTCAATAATTCGATCAATTTCGATTTACCATTACGAAAACAGAACAAAGATAAGAGTATGCGAACAGTTCAGTAAACTCACTTTTTTAACAACTTGGAAAAGATCTGAATTTAATTAAACTACAGCAATATACGTATAAAAATAAATAAAATCGATACAAATCTAAATTTAACGCAAAAATTTATTTTTTCCTTTAAAAGTATGCATCAAGTCGATCTCTGTAATTGCACTTATTATTTCTTCTGTTATGAAACATCATACCTCCAACAACTCGATCCGAAGAGGAAACTATTATAGCTCTCGTCCGATACTGAATATCAATACAAAAACCGCATTAAATATAAATGAAAACTGCCGCAGTGATACAGCAATCACCGCATTTATATACGTCGTGATAATAAGAGCCGCTGCGATAATGTGCATGGATTCGCACACAGCCAATGATTCTACTGAATTACTTCTTAATATGATGTAACAGTAACATCACACTGGCAGTTCTGTTTAGTAACGTTTGATAAAAACGGACGATTCATGCAAGTCATCAATTATTATATCCGAGCAATTAGCAAGTCCCTCACTTTGTATTCAACTGTCAATTAAATATCGCCAGTTACTCGTGACTCAAATCTCTTCTCGTAATCAGAGTTCAACATTTAACGCATTTATTCCTCTATATTATCTTTTTGCGAATACAACGAATTTTTATTGGCTACAATGACGCGTATGTGTTACAAGTGGCAGCTGATAAACAATATTATGTCGGCAGGATTCGCTGTCAACAATTTCTGAGAGCTTCAAAAATTATGGGAAAAAAATAGGCTCTCAATATGAAATGTCACCATCGAAGGTAATGCCGAAAATAATCATTATGTAAATAATTTCATTCTAATTTTGTCTGTCAATGTAATGTGTTCGCTGTACGATTGCTATATCTATTTTGGTACATTCTATTTTGTTTTTTATACTTGATTATATTTAAAATCTTCTCATTTCTCTTATCAAACTATTTTTTTGGTTCAAAGTTCGCACAAGTAAATATTATTGTCTAATAGCTTGTCGAAAATTCGAAACTAGTGTACTTCGCGTAGTTCGTCACAATAATAACAGATAGATTCCCACGAAAATGTACGTACAAATATTAACGCAAATATCGTTGAGAATATTCATTTCTTTGGTATATCTTAAAGATTATGTATTTCAACGTATAGAGAATTTATAACGTCATGTTACGTCATCATTATCAGAGGATAGTACATTTTATATGACGCAAGCGATGAATTGATGACTTGCAAGTTAATAATCTAGCAGATCTAGCTGTAGCGAATAAATAAAACTATGAAAGATAAACGTAATCGATCCGAATGTGTATTTTTACAATATTTGTTTAATATGACGTATATGAGGTTTGATTAATATAAAAATAAATGTTTGGCTCACGTTTGCACGTAAAGAAAGAAATAGCATTCTGAAATATATTAATAATACATTCCAAGAATAATGGATTCTTTATTGAAGCCAACAGAATATTCGTACATTTCTTATAATTACAATAAATACATAACAATAGGATGAATCAATTATTCTTAGTTTATTATGATACTTTAAGTACTACATATTTTACAAGCATAAAAAATGTATTATTATTAACTTTTTCTGTAACAAGAGGAATTACGCATGTCTGTGAATTATTCAGTATAATGCAAATGACAAGCTTACTTATAAACAAAAATTAAAATATTTACCTTTATAAACATGAAGGGAAGGGCTACACAATATCTCTATTTCAGCTATTAATTGTTCTTATTTTAAAGAGAATACATCACAATCAAGTATAAATTGGCAGTCATGTAGTCAAAGATTGTTATGTATCATTCAACCTCTTATTTAAAGAACTGTTTTTATAAACTTATATCTCAAAATACATAACTATTACTTAAATGCAACAAAGTTAATGATAGAAAATATATTCTTTTTATAAAGGAAAAATTTTAAGTATAGAAGTAAAATTTATATATATGATACTGAAACACTTTCTTGTGTAACGGTTTCAAATAACGAGTTATAAAAAACTTGAATAAAAAAATGCTCTTATTGTATAATTACATAATTCTATTTAGTCATTTATATTATCCTTGTTATCATCTTCCTTTGTAACAGAAATAGGAAATCGACGGTATTGCGTTTTTTCTTATGTGCTTAAATGCTTCAAAATTTTGCCGTTAAATTTATGAACTTTATTTAGAAATATACACAGAATCTCTTCAAATGTAACGTTTATATGAAAAGTATTGATTATATGACGTGCGTGAAAAATGTTAAAGTTTACAAATGAAGAATTTCTATAAGTAAATCATTAATTATGCTTAATATTTGGAGTCGTGCACAACAATCTGTCGAGTGCAATAGATCAGTTAAAACACTAACAAGATTTAATTCATTTTCTGAAACTATGCAATGATCAGATGAAGATGTTGAACTATATCACTTTGTCAGATGCAGCAAATTTTTCCTGCGCTCTCACCCAATCCTCACTTCATAACAATTCGTACTCTCATATATTTTTCAAATCATCTGGCAGCTCGTTCTTAGGATGTTTATTTTCAAAGTGTTGTTTGTAAGTCTTAGGATCTGGCATTTGGGCCTATAAATAAAAAAAGAATTGCCAAATCTATGCCAATAAGCTTCCAAAAATTTACAGATAACTAAGATTCTGACCTTGCATACACTACACACATGCACAAGTGCTTTCTGCGCTGCCTTTTTTTGATCATTGGCACTGTGTCCTTGCTGTTTCTTTAGTTTCGCACTTTTTTCTGCCGCCTTAGCTTGAGACTGTATCTTTTGTTGTCCACGAGCCATTCTAGAAACAAGAAGAATCCATAAATAAGTGAAAATGTAACATTGGCAACAAAACAATAATAGCACAATCTTGTTTTATTTTTTGTTAACATGGGATTGAATTTAGAATATTAGTCTAACATACCCTTCGTTCAATACAGCAAATACGAAAGTTATTTAACGTACCTGTTAATTGTAACACAATGTGTTGTATTAGTTATATTATTGAGTAGAAAATTACAACAGGTACATTACATATATAACTTTGTGTTTACTGAATATCTAACATCTCTCTCTTTTTACGAGAAAAAATCTAACTAATCATATCCTTCAACAGTTGTCACCATCTGTCAATAGGATGAGCCTCCTCTCTTTTTCTCTCATAATTGTATCTTGTTTCTATCATATCTTTCGAAATAAAAAAACAAAACCATATTGTACCCTACCTAGCTGCTAAAATGAGTATCTGCGAAATTTACGCTCGTCTAAATTGTTTACGTGTCTCCCCGGTCGCGATAATCGCGAAAATTGCTACTATATGGCCCGGAGCAAGGTGTAAAATCACTCGCGGTCACTGGAAAAAAAAAGTGCAGGGAAAACTTTCTAAGAAGAGAGAGAGAGAGAAGGTAAGAGAGAAAGACAACGAGAGAAGCTCAGGATCTCTGTGGTGTATCATCTGGGAGCTGTGCTCTCTCGCAAAATTTCTCTCATCAATCACATATTCATCTAGTGCAGATAGTGTAAGATAGTGCAGCTGAACCGACGTCTTACCTATCCGCAGACGGCGAATAGATGTGTTCGACAATTAAGGGTGCCTTCCGTTCGACGACTCTGATATTTCTTCCGCGACGACGGAGGCGCGGGCGATACTCACCGATTATTACCGCGGTGAGAGGGATTCGTAGAGAAAGCTTTTCTTTAGGAGGGAAAAGCCAAGGCTGATGGAGAACAAGTAGAACGTTTTTCACGTGCTACGAGTACACTGGCGCGGGATAAATAGCGCCAATAGCGGTCGTCAAAACAGGAATCGCATATATCGCGAATGCCGTCGCAGCGACTAGCAACGTATATGCTGTCGCTGTCGGCTAGCAACGTGTATGCTGTCGCTGTGCACATCTACGATTCTACGACAAGCTGCTGAGAGCAGCTGAGAGATCCGTGAGTTTCGGACTATTCCCCCTCCGTCTCCTTTTGCCGCCGAAATTTGACAAGTTATTCTGATACTGTTCGAAACTTCCAAGTTGCAACGCGATGCAAACTTTCGTATTATGTGAACTGTTCGAAAATTTATTGCCGGTACTGAAAGTCTATAGTGTACGTAACGTAAATTATAGATTTTCAGAACTGGCAGTCAATTTTGGAATACAGCTTTGATTGATATTCGTTAGCGCGTATGCATATACAAAAAGTAAAGTTTTCAAATGTCAGACGCGCGATTCGCGGTACTTGTCTACGCAGTAAACAGCCAATCACATTTCGAGAATTGTGAGGAGACACAGTCAACACAATTATCGTTCTATCTTTGTCATTCATTGAATGGGTGCATCCAGAAGCACGACCGCTCACTGGTCGGTATTCATAGTCGGATCTTATATTTAAGACCGTCTTAAGTACAGTCTTAAGATGTCATGAACCAATCAGAAGGCCGCATTAGCGACTTAAGACGGTCTTAAAATAAGAACCGGCCACTGAGCGCTCGGTGAGCTCTTGCACCTGATTGGCATATTCCATTAGATCGAAAAATATAGACCAAACAGATACAAGAGCTTAATGAGCGCTCAATGAGCGGTCGTGCTTCTGGATGCACCTAATGTCAAATAGGATAAAATTATGTTTGTGTCGAGTGTGTCCTCTAAAAGGAAAGCAGCCTTAGGCCGGTATTCATAGTCGGTTCTTATTTTAAGACCGTCTTAAGCAATGTCTTAAGTCGCTAATTCGGCCCTCTGATTGGTTCATGACATTTTAAGACTGTACTTAAGACAGTTTTAAATATAAGATCTGACTATAAATACCAGCCTGAGAATGGACGTTCCGGCCTCTTTCATGTATTATCCCGGATCTACAATAGGGTTTTAAGCCTTAAGCCATAAGAAATAGGCGAATCACAGTCGCTTATTCTTCTCGGATTCGACTGTAATTGGTCAATTTCTTACGGCTTAAGGCTTAAAACACCTATTGTAGATCCGGGGTTAAACCTCGTAGGGTAAAGGCTTAAACACAATAGGTACAGGCAACAGGGAATAACGAGCCGTCCAATCAGAGCTCTGGTGTGCAAGTTCGATATTATATCCCAGAGCCTATTGTATTTAAGCTTCAATATTCACGTTTTTGTGGGTCTTTTCCATATTATTACGTGAATTAGACAAGAACAAATAATCAAAGTTCATTATTCATATTTGTCTAATCAGACTCAATAATTGAGTGAGCGCTCGCTGCTATTGGCTACGTTCAGCAAACTCAACAGTTGAGTCTGCTGAACACAGCCAATGAATACAGCGCGTGAACGTCAATTCCAAACGCAGCCGAGATGAAAATTAACTGAGCAATTCACTCGGACTTATCATTTCATTGGTAATCTAATAAATTTGCTCACTTTCGTAATTTTCATCTCGTTTCAAAATACACAATTATAGGGCCAGTATTCTTAGTCAGATCTTATATTCAAGATCGTCTTGAGGACGCTCTTAAGAAGTCACGAACCAATCAGAAAGCTGCATTAGCGTCTTAAGACATTACTTAAGACGGTCTTGAAATAAGATTCGACTATGAATACTGGCCTAGGTCTGTTCGCGTTGCTTGCACTTTTGGCATTCGACATCTTTGCTTTTTCTCTTTTTAAGGCAAAATATGTATCTATCTCATTTTAAGTGCAAAAATATTTGGGGATTTCATGCAACGCCAACAGACCTATTGATTCCCCAGGTTCAGGATTTGAACGGTCACAATTTTTTCAGTGAGTCGGTACTCTATGGTGCATGCGTATACCTCATGGCTTATCGCAATTGGGGAAAATGGCTGATGATTCGTCGGGACGTGTTTTGACAATTTTAGTTACCTGAGCCGCCTGAGCCTGATGATCGACTGTGATCGACGAGTTACGTCGTGGTGGGAAGCATAATTTCCGTGATATTTCTAGCGGTGATATCGTCGTGATGTAAAAGCCAGCAGTGCGTTCGCTCAGCACATCCTGCTAATCGTCTGCTTATCCAGTGCGTAACTCGTTTTAAACGTGCTCCGACTTGTTTCTACTGTCAGGAGATACTTCTCGAAAGAATGATATCATCTCTTTTTTTTCAATAATGACATCTATATGTGAAACGAGTCACTACCGATAAGTAGTAATGTGATACACGAATGTATGTGTGCGTGTATATATGTGCGTTACTATGAGCGAATCTATAAGACTCGGCCTGTCATTTTTTCATTTGAGGTATTGTTTTTCATTCACGATTATCACGCATGATACAGTATCTGTGTTTGACTCAATAATACAACGAGAATGTACTAATATGTGTCTTTATTCCTGAATTCATTTTAATACTAAAAAGCATGAATCATTTATTTGAATACGTATATCTGTTACATATTAAAACTATAAATTTTCATGAATAAGTATTTTTCTACATAGTAGTACACGTTACACAGTGATTTTTATTATATCGTATAGGTGAGCATGCGACAGATCTACTGCATTCTCTGACGTAAGATCCTCCATGTGGCTAGGTGGATATAAAACTTGTGAAAAGTTGGAGTTGCATCATGCCGAATTAAAGATTCCAATGTATATCTTGTATAGTTTCTACAATCATGGTGTAGACAAGGGATCATTAAGGCAATAAAATGCCTGCCATGCAAATTAATAATGGGACAGCACTTTGCTAGTCTCAGAGACTTCTTTAGAATGGATAGTGAAAGACAGCCTACTGAGATATGCGCTAACGCGCTCAGCCACCCATTGCCCTTGGATATGGTGAATCGAGATGGCAATGAAAGTTTGCCCGATAACGAGACTAATGGCAATGTACCTGTAACGAACCCTAATATACTGCCGAATAGACCAGAATGTAAACTAGAAGGGAATTTGGACAACGATCGTTTAAACTTAGATGTAGACAACCATAATTCTAGATTTGAATCTTTGTATAGTCAACCTGTTGAAACTCAGGATACAAAGCAAGTTTGTAACAATGGTAATGTTACGAGCGAGCCATCATTTAGACAACAGCAGGAAGCATGCTGTAGTAGTTCTGGTGGTAGCAACAGTAGTAGCAGTTCTGAAGATAGTCCTGTAAATCCACCTTTAAGAAGATCCTCTAAAACTTTGTCATTTGGGAAGAGAAAAAGTATGTGTATCAAATTAATTTCTCACATATATAGATATTGTAATATTGTACAACGATGACTCAAACTTGTTTGTTCGCATTAGATAAACAGCGCAACAAAGATCAAAGCCCAATATGTAATCACGTTTTATCATCGAAAAAGAAACGTAGCAACTGGGTATTGAAATTTAATTGCGCCAAGAGCAAAAGCTCAAAAAATACTGACATTATTCCCGGCCAAGGGAATGGTAATTCGGATTGTATATGCACCGGTTATAGGAGAACAGAGGAGCATCCTATGGGTGCGGGTATCGTGTTTAATAGTCGATCCGCTCCGCAAAGTCCCGTTCTCGGGCCTTTGCCACCGAGTCCCGTAATTGATTTATCGCGATTTAACCCCGAAGAATTTCCTATGGAAGTACGTGTCAATGAAGTATATAGCAAATTTTTAATTTTTTTAAAAGAAATTTACGAAAATTTGATTTTACTATATTCATCTTTTTTTTGTTTTTAAAGGATTGTGACGAACGTGCTCGAATGCAACGCGCACGAGAGATGGAGGAAGGCGTTGAGCCTCCTCCCGGTTATAGGCCTAATTATCCTACAGGTATACAAGTTCATCCCAACGGAATAACGGTGGACAGTTTAGCGGCATTGTTCCAAGCACATGCCGGTATCCAAGCTGCCGCTCTTACAGCCTTATCCCAAATCGACTTTACATTAATTCCAAATATCGAAAGACCTGCACACACGCAAGTAAGTCCTTTTTTTTTATTCAAATTTATATTTAATATTTATATAAGAAATCATAAATTCTATCGATCCTTTATGAAATAAATTTATATGCTAAAAAATAAAAATTATAACAAATACAAGTATACATATAAAATTTTACCAGTGTAAGAATACAGATTGGGATATAAAAACTGCAGAGATCAACATCAAACAAAAATTAACTTATAATTTAGAATTATTTGATTTTTAAAACGAAAAGAGAATTTCATTTTATTCACAACCATTACAATCATTCTGAATTAAAAATGATGGTAGTACATAAATTAATATGATATACATTTTTTTATTTTTCTGGTATACATATATTCAACCTCTAAAATATTAGTATATATTTATAATTCATGTTATATATTCACTGTTTCGCTATTTTGTAATACAGGTCGATTATGTCCATTGTCTGGTGCCAGACTTAAGGTCGATTACAGCCTGTTCTTTCTATTGGGGTAAGATGGATCGTTACGAAGCGGAACGTTTATTGGAAGGCAAGCAAGAGGGTACTTTCTTGCTGCGAGATTCCGCGCAGGAAGAATTTTTGTTTTCCGTGAGTTTCCGTAAATATGGACGCTCGTTACATGCCCGGATTGAGCAATGGAATCATAAGTTTAGTTTTGATTCACATGATCCAGGAGTTTATGCTTCCGAAACAGTACGTATATGTATATTTGTTCGCATTTATTTCATATTTGCATTTTATTCCAATAATCGATAAACACGATATAATCATGATCGGTATATATCTTTACAGGTATGCGGTTTAATCGAACATTATAAGGATCCCTCATGTTGTATGTTTTTCGAGCCCATGCTCACTATCCCGTTACATCGGAATTTCGCATTTCCGCTACAGCACCTGTGCAGAGCGGTGATAACTACGCGAACAACGTACGATGGCATAAATAAGCTGCAGTTGCCAAAGACACTTAAGAGCTATCTCAAAGAGTATCACTATAAACAGAGAGTACGAGTCAGACGATTAGACACAGAAAATGATTCACACACGGACTGTAGATCCATATCATGTTTACCGATATGAATCTCTTCGTATTAATATTCGATAGAATTTTATTATATGTTGCATAATTATGTTTCTTTACCTATATTTACAGAGTTGTACTGCCGTATCAAATACGAGCGGTACATGCATATAACATTGTAATATCAGGAATATCATCACTCTGACACACAATTATACAAAATATCATTGCAATATTAGCAATAAAAGAATTGTATTCGTCTTAAGCGATACTAGATACTGGGGGAGATGGCGTAGTATAATTAAAAAAAAATGAAAAGAGGAAAGATAGGACTTGTGCGATTTTGAGCGCGACAAGTGTCTATGTTCATTTGACGAGGTCTAGTAATCTTCTATGTAAATACATCAGGAAGGCAGTGCTTCATACACTCGCACAGTGTATTGCGAAATCGTGTATTATGTAAACTTCAATATTATTGCTATTGTTTTTATTATTACTACTACATTTATTTCTTTATTTTATTCCTAACTATATTATCTTTTAATCATTACTTTAAATATGCATAATTTAATTTTAAAGTTACGGGAACATGCAGTTTGTATTCTGATAATTTTTATAGATCAATACCAAAACTTAACGTCTGAAAGGCGTGGCAATTTAATTTTTATTCTTATGAAACTATGCCATCAAATTTAACGTATTTAAGTAGCTAAAATTATTAAAAAAAAAAAGAAAGAGTGAGAGAGAGTGGGAGAGTCTGCAAAATCTGGTTCATATTACTCCTATTGTGCCTATTTATAATGTTAAATATTATTAGATAAAAGCTGTCTGTGTTGATGTTTCTCATTGCCAGATACGAAAATCTATAATTTGTGTAAATTCTTTAAATTTCAACATGTGGAGTGAATATCAGATGCAGTGAATTGAATTTGGAGTAACAATGCAAATCATTGAATATTGATAAATTTGCAAAATATATGATATTATAGAAATTGTTAAAAGTATTGGTTAATGGTTATTCGTATAATGAACTTCGTATTAAAAAATAAAAATTTAATATTTATTATGTGTATATATTTTACTTCTCTCTAATCCTAATATCGTGATCATATAGACATTTTTAGAAAAGGTCTATATAATGATTAAAAATCAAAGCTAAAAACAATTTTTTTAACTGTCACATAGTTTGTGTAATGTTTTTTTGTAAATAGAAAAGTCTTAAGCCTATATCTACATGCCTATCTAATGTATTTTTGTTTCCTGTTTCTTGTTTTTTGTTATTTTTATCTTGTTTTTTTACTTCTTATCTGGATTTTTGTTTTTTGTCGCCCGAGATAAAAGTGAACGAACTTCGGAAGAAACAGGAAATGAAAAAAGTAAGAGGTAAAAAAATAAGAAATAGGAAACGAAGAGAGCATTTGTAGAATAGGCTTTAAGCTATCATAAGAAATTGTTCTATGTGATAAATTTTTTAATTTATTAAAAATATATGATTTTGACATTTAAATATTTCCATACTTTATACATGTCAACATAACAAAACAAGAAAGAAATATTTCAATAATTTTGCTAGATTGTTCGAAATAAGGTAAAGATCTCTCAATGTCTTAGTCTTACCTCTTAGTTCTTATTTTAATACTGAATTCTTGTACCTATGCAGGGTACCTATCATGAAATATGTCGGAATGGATTCTGATCGGAATTATTCTGTTTTCCCTAGAAAACACAATAGAAATCTAGAGAATAATTGAATATTTCCGATCGGAATCTATTCCGACTTGTTCTATGATAGGTACCCTGATGTATATCTAAATTTCATGATAAATTTAATACCACTTCTTTATTGTTCTTCAAAATTTATATTTTTAGTATATTTCACATGAATAAATATAATCTTGTTTTATAAATAGAATTCATTGGAATGTTGAAACAATATAATTTTTATAAGTCGCAGGAACAACAAACAATCAATGTCCTAAAATGTATTGCGTGACTGGTAGCATTACTTTATAGTTGAAGAAGAAGAAGAAAAAGAACAGAGCTATAAGAAAAATGTCTGTTATATTAATGTAAGAAAAATATTAAGATTTCTGTTGTACGAAGGATTACAAGCGATAGATATAACGTCTTTTACATGCATAATTACACAAGATTCGATACTATATTATCAATACTTTCTATTATACTCGCACCGTAAAGATTATTTATGCGATTACTATATATTATGCACAGAACTCGATTTAATTGATATCGAGATGTTTTAATTGGGATAAATCTAAAGATTACGATAAGCCGTGTAAAAAGGATACTGACAAAATTCCTTTCCCATTCTTCTACCATGTATAACTCAGTAACGAGAGTGTATCGAAAATACCAATACTTGAGAAAAGATCGTAAACTTCGTATAACGTTATCCATGATTAATTATCACTTGAACTTCTGGCAAATCGACCTTGATAAAAGAATTAATAGTACATAAATAAGTAGCACAGCAGCGTTTGCAAAGCATTAAAAAAGCGATTATACAAATGCGCTTTTGTTACGCTTTGTTAACGCTTTGTAAACGCTGCGTGCTATTTGGGAAATGTAATTAAACAAATTGATCAATCACAGCTAAGAGTTTTAAAATTACAACTTTACGTTTTCAATAATTTTCAACTGCTATTAATTCGAGTTACATGTGTTTCTCTGCGTGGCACTAAAGAACTATTAAATTGTTTTTGTCGGCAACGCCATATTTCTAATTTCATATCAAAAGGTCTGTTTTCATGGAACGCGTATTTATGAATTTATATTATTTTAGCGAATTCGATTGGACGCACTGGGACATATTAAAGGTACACTGATTTAATCTGAGTGTAAAAGTAAAATACAAATATTTCGAATTATAACGTACATATTATATATTTTACTTAACAGAACCATAACATAATGGCTGCATTTAGCACAACGTTTATTTTGTAACTGTTGATTGAAAGTTTTCTTCGCGCTGATTGGATTATACTTTTAGATCTAGAGGAATATTGGTCCTATCTCAGAAGACAATCATAAAACGGCTGCAAAACTGTTGTGTTCTGCTTAACGCAGCCATTATTTAGGATTTCACCGTTTTGACTTGTTCTATATTTATATTAAACGTATGTTTACGTCAGTTTGTGTATGAAGATGTAAACATATCAGTATAACACATTGAGTGTGTCCAATCGAATTTGCCATTTTAGAAATGACAGAGTAATGTACATTTGTACCAACGTAGATTAACTTTATAATCCTAGTTTGATTAATTCTCTATATCCTATATTTCTAATTCTTCAAATTAAAAAAAAGATAAAAAGTAAGTTAAACCAAGATTAATTAATTTGATCTATATTGGTAGAAACTAGCATAAAATAAAAATATGTCTCTCCCGGAACAAAACCTACGAAAGATTTCGCGATACATAATTATCGAACTCGTTGAGTGCTTTTCGCATCTCGTCGTACTTTGCGCGATCACACGCCTCACGCAGCGGGAGCCAGGCAAACGCTTGATGTTCATTCGACAATCTCACAGGCTTGTCCGGATTGAGCAGCTCCGCCAACCAATAGATAACGATTTTCGGCTTTCCCTTCACTTTATACGTCATTTCGTGCCTCGCGTCCTCGAAGATTTTCAAATCATTTGGTACAAATCCAGCCTCTTCTTGAGTCTCGCGCAAGGCCGTCTCCATGTCAGATTCATCCGGATCAACATGACCTAAGACATCGAGCAACACTCAGTGACCGTCAAGTCGAATAATCTTCTTTAGTGAAAAATTTTTACAGGAATTTTTTTTAATTAGAAAAAAGTGATCTATAATTTTTTGTTTATATTTTATTCGATTTAAATTCACAGCAATAAAAGAAAAAATATAAAAGTGTTTACAAATTTTTCATTTTCTTTTGTCAATAATATTAGAATTTAAAAAAAGGAACTTCAATATAGAGAATTCGGTCACTTATTACATTATACCAGAGAAAAACCTGAAAGCGGCCATTTAAGCCTTTTTCGTGTGACGCTCAAAAGCCCCTACTGTATACTATCGACACCAACATTATTTTTATAAAATGATATGTCGATACTGCTGATGAAATCGCTGATAGTGTCGAAAATTGATGTAGTGCAAATCGGTGCTAAATCGAAAATTGATGTGAAATCCACATCCACAAATTATGGATGTAAAGATAATATGCATATATAATTTTATGTATATACTTATGTTTAGATAACTGTTTTTTTTTTATATATAGACTACTATATATATAAATTAAATATTTAATAATGATATTGGGCATTCAACAGATTCAACAGTTGAGTGAGTGCTTGCTGTTATTGGTATTCTTTTAGATTATCTAATCAAAATTTTAGATCTAGAAAAATACATCAATGGTTGCGTTCAGCAGACTTAACTGTTGCGAAGCGGATCCGTGAGCGCTCGCTGCTATTGGATGATGTAGAAGAATACACCAATAGCAACGAGCGCTCACTCAATTGTTGAATCTACTGAAGGCAGCCATTGTTTGCGTTCAACAGAAAAAGCAGCTTTGCGACTGTTGTAAAATTCTTGAATATGATTGGTTTATACATTTAGATCCAATGAGGAACTAAGGGCAAGACCAATCATATTGAAAAATTTTACAACAGTTGCAAAGCTTTCTCTGCTGAACGCAGCCATTGTCACGTTATGTAACAGAATATACATGTGTTATTTCATTATCCAAAGTTGAATATGTTATGCCATTTAAATACTTTATATAGAATAGCCTTCAATGTGTACTAATTCAGTGTAGCGCGAATGACCGAACTTTCTAATCACACGTTCCCGTAAACTTAATCGCGCGATGTGAACGAAACTTTAATCCGTTTGTTCGCTAAGGCTAAGATTGTCGCGTAAGATTAACTTTAATCGCGATTAAATTTACTCTTTTTCTTTTTCTAATTTTATGAATTAGAAAAGCACAAATAGTAAAGCAAACGAAGATAAAGTTAATCTTATATTGGTGTAACTGAGTTTAATAAATCATTAAATATAACGTTCAGCTGTCGATGTAAAAGCATACTAACCTTTAGGCGGCGTCCAGTGATGTTCTCCGTACGATGTTTGCATTAACAGGTATTGAATAGTACCTTGAAATCGACGAAAAATCACAAGACCGCAAGCGCGTTGCTGCAATGTCATGATGCTCAACAGCTGTGAAATCACTCACGAAGACAGTAAAGCCACTGAAGCCCGTAATGCCCGTATCAAACCAGTGTTAGAAATTGCATGCTGGAAATCGATTCGA